ACCTTATGGGGAAATTTCCTTCGGGTTGCGACCAATTCGGGGTGCAACCAGAGTCACAGAATGAATTAAATTCGTAACCCGAGGTTCCACTGTACTGATTGTTTTTTGTTATACTATTTTATAAAGATAGACCATGGTCAACAAAAGCAGTTTCAAGAACTTGCCAGTCCAAGACTTCTTAAAATGCTGTAGTATTTACATGTGTTGTTCTTAAAACTAAAATTGGATTAATAATAATTAAGATAGTTCAGTATTTGACTCACAAAGTAATTCAAAAGGTGCAATTACTGAAAGAAAAATGGAAAGAGGAGCTCAGATGCATCGAAGCCTGCCACAAAATATGTCACTGTGCTTCAGTTCCTCGGTGTCTTGTTGTAAGTTAGATATGGCCTAGCTTAGTATTTTAACATTCATTCACCTGGCAGATTTGGATTTACAGTTTTGGGAAAAGACTCTGCTACTTTAAAGAGTTGTTGATAGCTGCTAATTTCATGCATCCATGTGTTCCAGTATGTACCTTTTTGGAATCAAATCCAAAATACAACATGGCTCTATCTATGGTACATTTTATAGAAAGTATTGCTGCTTTGTATGCATATATTTATATTCATAGAATTTGAAGTGTGCACAGCCCTAATATTTAATAACTATTCATCCCTTTCTGTTTGGACATCCCTTCTATGGAAGCCATTACCTATTGTGAGAATGGGAAATTTGCAGAATATATTTGCATGCAAAACCCTGGAGAAATCTATTGGAAAGAGCAAGTGGCCCTCTGCCAAATTCCAGGATTTTTAAAACATCCCAGTAGAGTTTCTGGCAGAAGGAAAGAAAAATCCTTGTACAGAGGAAAAGCTCCACACCCATTGTCTACGCTCACAGATGTACTAATGTGCAAATTTTAATTGCTCTGCAGATTTGTTGATAGGTTTTTGGAATGCATACAAATGGTGTTTCAGGAGTAAGATGATATGAACATCTGAGTGAGTAACTGGAGATCAGCTAGTGACAGAAATACCCTGTCCTGGCAAATTCTTGTGGGTATCCTTATAAATACGAAGCTGGGCTGCAGATAATTCAAAACCTGGTGGTTTCCCAGAAGAACCAATTATAATCTTTTAATTTGACTTGCCCTTTGAGGATTGGCAAAGGCTAAGGTAGCTTTGGGAACAATGAACCAATCATTTGTAGAATATGGTAAATAATGAGTTAGGTGATAAAATATTTAGACCTTCCTGGAGTTGCTCAGAAAAGTACATTTTAGAAGTTTTTATAATTATGTTTATGTTCAGAGTTCTAGAGCATAGAAAGGATTTTATTTTTATTTCAATTTTGGGTCATGAATAGTTGTATTCTGAAAGTGTTGCAGGTTGTATTTTTTCAGGGCTAGATAAAGACAACTGCAAGTAACCAATAGTTTTGGCATAATTCTAAAATAAGGTGGCTAGGCTTTCATTACCTACTGCTTTTATTTTCTTCGATAATTCTTGAGCAACCTGTAAAAACCCCAAATATAATATTGCTTATATGGATCATACCTTCTTATTTCCATTTGTATCTTTGGGATAGTTAGTTTCAGGACATCACACACACACACACTCACACACACACACACTTGTTCAGAATAGAAGACAAGGTTCTCTTGCCTGGGAAAAATGGGAAGGCTTTAAGTGATATGTTGGCAGAGAGCAGATGAGGTAGAACTTGGAACAGATTTCCATAAAGCGTACACGTGGTGGTGCAGACTTATATATGCAAATTCAGAAGTAATCATAATTTCAAATATAAATGCAGTAGATTTTAGTTTAGTTGGGAACAATATCACTTGATGACTGATCATGGTCGATGAACATCTCCCAAATCCCTGCTTTCTCTTCCTAAATTTCTTTATCTTTAAATTGCACGTTGATCTCAACAATTGATCAAATTGAGCAATATATTTTGTAAATGAGGACATGTTGCTGCTATACATGCATTTGCTATCAACACTGATATCTCCCAAATCTCTGGCAATTGTTATTGAGAAGATGCTGCAGTCTCAGGAACAATTATGTGCAGTTTTAGAGGCAATTTCTCAAATTTATTTCTTTGCCACCAGCTTCCCTTTGTTGTCTTTGCGGATGACTATTGACCATCAATATCTTGAGGCAAGGAATTATCTGCTTGATTCACATATATTTCCAAGCCTCTACCCATAAACTTGTGACTTTGTAATGCTTGAACTATTGCATAACTACATTTAAATTTTCTTTTTCAGGTTAGCAAGTCCCCTATATTTGTTCCTGGTGTTTGGGGACCTTATTATTCAGCAATGGTGCCAGGATTGTGGCTAAATGAAGGAGGTCAGAGTGTAACAGGGAAACTGGTAGGTCTAACTTTTTGCTCAATTTAGCCTTTTCTTTTTATTTATGCTATATATATTCACATTTGTTAAATCAAATGGGATGGATGAGATTGTGTGTTATGGGAGGTCCCTGCCCTTGGGAATTGAGGGGCCTGGATTGAGAGATGCTGCAGACTTTGGGGGGATGTGGGTGGGCCAAAATATTATGGTGGTGATGGGCATGGGGAGATATGGCAGGAGATGGGGAGTGGTCCATTCTCGGGGAATGCAGGACCAATGTCTTATACTGGTTTCACATTCCAGCTTCTTGATCTCAGCTCCTGTACCTGGTCAGCAGACCTTCAGAGGCCCTGGCTTTCGACTGCTACTTCTAAATGCCAGGTTGGTCTGCAATAAGGCCTCCCTCATCTGTGATTTAAGCATTGATGAGAAGGCAGACCTGGCATGTATTACTGAGACCAGGCTGGGCCTGGAAGGGAGTTGGCCCTTTCTAAGATGTGCCCAGCTGGGTTTCGGGTGTGGCATCAGCTGAGACCTGGGGCAGAGATGGAGGTGTGATGATTGTCATCCAGGAATTGCTTAAGGCTTTCAGGGGCCCTGCACCACAGGTCACTGGATGTGGCATCCTGTTCATTTAAGTTGGGCTCTAGGGATCAGTTGGGATTGTTGCTGTTTTACCAAAGTCCCTGCTGTATAGCAACCTCCCTGCCTGAGCTGATGATACCCATTTATACATCTCTGCCCCTGGCGAATTAAGCATTCTTGTGGACGTCTTATCTTGGTGCCTGGAGACTGTGAGGATTTGGATGGGGAACAACAGGTTTCAACTGAATCCTGGATCTGAGTGGATTTGGGTTTTAGGATCTCTTGGTTCTAGGATTATACCTTCTTTGGTGCTGGGTGGAGTTGCACTGCCCCAAACAGACTCTGTGTGCAATCTGGGGATTCACCTAGACTCACGACTCCTGTTCGAGGAGCAAGAGGCAGTCGTGGCTAGGAGGGCCTTTGCTCAACTTTGTATTGTGTGTCAGTTGCACCCATTCCTAGACCAAGGAGCTCTACTCACGGTCACTCATGCCCTAGTCACTTCCTGGTTAGACAGCTATAATGCACTCTACATGGGGCTGCCCTTAAATAGTATCTGGAAGCTTCAACTGGTGCAGAATACAGTGGTGTGGGCAGTTATGTGTGTTTCTAGAACACACATTATATAGTACCTCTGCTCTGTGAGCTGCATTGGCTACCAGTCTGTTTCCAGGTCCAATTCAAGGCGCTGTTCTTGACCTTTAAAGACCTACATGGCATGGGACTGGGTTATTTGGGGGACTGCCTCTCCCAGATTACATCTGCCCATTCCAGCAGATCCAGCAGAGAGGACATGCTGTGGGTCCGTCAGCTAGGGAGCTACAGTTGGCAGGTCCTAGGTGGCGGGCCTTTTCTGCTGTGGTCCCCGCTTTATGGAACATTCTTCCCCCTGAAGTAAGGCTGGCTTCATCTCTTTGAACTTCTGGAAGTCCCTCAAGACCTTGTTGTGTCATCAGGCCTGGGGACCTCATGGGACTGGTGAAATATTGAGATGGCTCCAGTGTAATTGACACCTGCATTATATAGTTCTTGCATTAATTCAAATACATAGAAGGAATTTGTTTCATGTGGCAACTAACTTTGCCTCTCTATTTTGCTATAGACAATGGGTATGTCTTAAGTAATGTTATATTCACTTTTATCATTATACACTTGCATAAGATTCTTCTGACCGCAGATCACTTTATGCAGTGGAAAGAATGCATGGAAAGAAAAACATTGAGTTTACAAGTATAGAAGAAATGTTCTTGAGGCTGGTGCGTGTGTGAAAGAAAAACAGACAAGTTTTCTTTAGGAAATATCATTGGAGAGCCTAGTTACTTAAGACTTTTTATACCTAAGAGCTGTAGTGTACTCTTCTCCATTATGCAGGGAGAGCAAGTCAAGTAAGTAGCTGAACTGAACAGGTCAAAGTCAGAAGACAAAGAAAGCTGAATTGCAATGAAAGATGAGAATATCAGTCTAACCAATAGGAGGCATATTACAAAGAAACATGCAAGTAGGTCTTCTAGACAAGCCAAGGAGATGACAGTGTAGAGGCCTTCTGCTAACTGTCCCTATATCTTTTACCCCAGTGGTTAGTAGGTTTATAGGTGCAGAAAACTGATAGATGCAAAGTTGAATTCCAATACTCTTCCATGTCTGGTTGATAAAAATATCTAAAGATTTCATTTTATCAGTGGTCACTGAGATTATTAACACTTCCTTTTTTAAATGTGAACTTGCCCACCTCCCTTAACTGAAGTAATGGTACACCTTTGCTTACTGATTTGTGGGCTGGACTTGAGAGTTCAGGAGAAATGCCTGCTCTTGAAGGGAACTGCAATTCCCTAATACTGATCCCTCAAGAATCAAGTTTGTATCCTCCTGGATCTAATATTAATGCTGGATAGCTGCATCACATTATGGCATGGAGGGCCCTTTGTCAGTTTTAGCCAATAAACCCACCATGTCCTATTTGGAAGAAGAATACGTAGCTTCAATGATCATTTTCTGGTAACCTTGGATTGGATTAGTGTAACACATTCTTTGTGGGATTGCCCTTGGAAAATAGCCTAGAATGTAGCAGTATGTATACTGAGTGATGCCTCCTAAGTTCTGTGTTGAAACAACTATTGTAAGGTACTCAAATCAGGAAACTTGTATTCATCCTTCAGTTTATCCTCAGAACAAATTGTTAGGTGGGTTGGGCTGAGAGAAAATGACTGGCCTATGCTCCCTGAACCGCAGGACTGAGTATAAATTTGAACTTGCATCTCATCAGTTCAAGATTATATTTATCCTTACTTTTCAGATTGACTGTCTGCACAGTTCTATACATACCTACTCTAGGGTATTCCAGAATCATAAACAGAACTTATTCCTGAGTTGTGTATAGAAATAATAATGTTTTGCATATTTCAAGTATGCAAACATAAAACACACGTACATATTGACTGTATTTAATGATAAGGGACTTGTAAGCAGTATATTGGGGAACAAATTAAAATATATTATTCTGTTGAAGATTTGAGACCTAGCATCACATTTCACTTACCAGCAGCAACACAAGTTATTGCTTGTCTTGCTGTAGTTTGGATTATTCTGTAGGAAGAAACAAGGAAAATTGTAGCATGGCCTTATTTTATTGATGAAATGACAAGTTTCAATTCAGTGCTTATTTTTTTCCATGCTGATAGAGTGCATAGTGGCTGAAATAAATCTGTGACCCAGGTAATAATATTTCAAAAAAATAAAATACCTTCAATCAAAAATCAATATATATATATATATTTTTTTTCATTTTCTTTTCTTTTTTTAAGATAGAGCATGTTGTCCAAGGACATGCTGCTTTCCCAGAACTACAAACAAAATCTGCAGCCAGGTCAGGTCATCAACCTTATTTCTTTTTCATTTATGCTCTGTTTTAGAAATTTCTTTTTGGCTGTAATACAAAAAAACCAGTTAGCTAGAATCTTCCAGCTTAATTGGGATGTGGGTTGGACTGTTTCTCACTATATAAATGTCTATCCAAACTTCATCTTTATCCTCCCTATTTCAGAATACATTTTTAATACACCTGAGGAATGAGTCACATGGCTGTTTCTGAGGTGCTGACATCAACAGAAGTTGATTTTCTCTAGTCATGGCGGACTTGTAAAAACATTTTTGTGAATGCCTGAACAACAGGCCAGCCTAGTTTTCACATGCTTACTTTCAGTGCTTGGATATGCATTTATCTTTGCAAAATTCCTACAAAAATCCATCTTTTAATAATCCTGCCATTCTGTGTGGGATGGTCATGTGAAGAATTTAGCCTTATAACCAAGGAGTTAGAAGGCTCTTATAATAATACAGGTAATGGAAAGTTAATTGTTTGAAATTTAGATAATTAAGAACATTCACCCACACTCATTCATATGAATGATGTGGCCCCAGCAAATCCCTCTAAATAAAATAAAATCTTTGATTCTTTGCCACTAAATGGTCCTCACCACTGATAGACGGGGATGTCCTCTGGTATTTATCTTGTTTATCTCACAGAAGATAAAGTTTTTAGCCTTTGCATAAGGGGAAGAACAACTCACTGAAGGTCTCCCTAGTATTCAAACAAAAGCATTTGGCATATTTTTGAACCATTCCATACAGATTTCCCAATTCTCACCCATTCACCAATGATTCTTCAGTCTTTCACAATATCTCTTGTACTTAGGGAATGATGGCTCACTTTATATCTTACCCGTTTTAGTTTTGTATAGACTCAGACATGAATCTATCCTGCCAAATTTCTCTCTGTAAATCTAGAAAAACATATACATAGTGATGATGGGATCATCAACTAGCAGATATATTCAGTGTGCTTGCACACATTCAGTCATTCACACATGTATTCACTCATGTATATAAGTTTTGAGCTGAGAAGTCATTCATACATGTATGTAAGTCACTGAAATATTTAAAAAATCCAGTCTGCATAACAGTTTTGGAAATATGAATTAGGTCAGTTCAGTTAAATACGTGCTCCAAATAAAATTATGTCCACCCAGTGCAGAGGCTACTGCTCTAGAGAGAAAAGCAAGTGGAAATAAGGAAGGAAAAGAGATATTACCTCATACTGGCATGTTAGCCATTACGCAGCTTCTTAGGGAGGGGGGCCTAATGAAACAGAGTAGTGGAATTTGTAAAATATGAGGTAGAGAGACTGTAATATTTGTTGGGTTTGAGCATTACTATTTCTTAGGTTTTTGGTTTTGAGTTCGGGATCTCTATTTCTTACTACACTGAAAATAAAATGACCCTGCCCTATAGTACCAGAAAATTCAGTTTATTCTTAATTAAGATGCAGTTGTGTAAAGCTGGACAGAAATGTGTTCTGGTTAAAAGATTTATATAATGTTACATCACAGAAAGACACCCATTTTACGCTATGCTATGCTATGCTATGCTATGCTATGCTATGCTATGCTATGCTATGCTATGCTATGCTATGCTATATAAAAATTCCCTTCTCACCCCTATGGGTGGTATGTGTCTTCCTCAAACTCGGGTCCTCTACCAGAGGCCTGGGAGTTTGAGGGTTCTGTGCAGTGTCTTAGCTGTTCCTAGCACTATATTCTTCTGGACAGAGCTCTGATGTTGTTCCTGGGATCTGTTGGAGCCACTTTCCCAGCTTAGGAGTCACAGCCCCGAGTGCTCCTATCACCACTGGGACCACTTTGACCTTTACTTTCCACATCCTCTCTAGTTCCTCCTTCAT